AGTAGGCTACAGGATGAGTTTTTTGCGAATCATTCGACTCGGAATACAACTCTGGGACATTCATAAAAACTACAAGAGGCTGAACACCAAGCCTAAGACAGGTGAGTTTGTTTTCTATGGATCTCTTCTTCGAGTTACAACATCGGGGGCAAAGACGTATCCGTCGTAAGGAGTCTAAGGACTATTTACTTGTAATTATTACAAACCGGAGTCTTTGTGACATGATCTTCTAAACTAAACTAAATCAACTAAATATTGCTGCCTTAAATGTTCCTTTCATGTGACTCGGAAGAGCAGAGGCATTTTTTAAACTATATTGCATGCTAACCGGTATATGATATCGTGTCATATACATGTAGACGTTGCTCACATTGAAAAAAATATATTATAATAGTAACATGTACGTATGATTTTATCTTTAAGAAGACGTATGAAGTCAGTTTAGTGCGCGATCTTCAGTTTTGTTGACGATTTCGTATTAAGCCGTGTGTTCGCTGTTAATTTGTTTTAGGAATATGTAATGGACACTTGAATGTTTAACTTAACAAAATCCGTTAAAGTACTCTGTGTATGGGTAACTCTGATGTGAAATTGACCAACGATGACCATAAAACAGAACAGGTGAAAAGCTTGCCTGACATCAGGTTGGTCGCGCTAAGTACAAGCCATGGCCTCCATGGCTGTCTGTTGTACGTAAATACTCAATAAGGCATGTTTCATTTGAGTCTGAATGACTGAGTGCTTACTGTGCATTCATGTTAGAAACAAGTAATTGCCACAACATTTAGTGCCTTAACAAACTACGTGAAACTACTGTGTATGTAAACGTCTGATATAAAAACGACCAAAGCTAAGATAGGTAATAAGCGGGAAAAAAGTTCAGGGCAAGCTTGGTACAAGCCATAGCTTCCGCGACTGACTGTTGTACAAGAATAACCTGTAGCCGTACTGAATGCCTTACTGCGTAAATAAAGACCTTTGTGCCCCACAATAGGCAGCAGGTAGAGTTACCACTCAGGTGAGTCAGTGGCAAAAGTAAGATTTCATTCTAGGGAGGTTTGGATGTCAACCATGGATAATGCATGTTGTCTCGCACACCGTTGTTTATGTCGAAGTTATAAGCCAACAATTACATGTCACCGAATTCTATTTCAGAGGACGAATCTCAACCCCCTCCCACACAAGTGGACGAACACGAGCACAGTAATGGTGGACGTACAATCTATTGGGGTTGTGTCAACCGGACCTACCATGTAACAGGCGACAAAGGTACACATTTTGTTTTGACACAGGCTAAATGTATAATATTTCTAGCACTTGAGCTTCTGTTTGATGACATGAGATTTAAAAGCATTACACGGATGGTTTGAAGCCATTTCATCAAGTGTGATTCAAGTTTAAGACCCATTGTTCCCATTAATTTTACCATACACATCGTTAGATAAGACTGTACAGGTTAATACTGCTACTAAGTCGTGCTTTTATCTTAAATCCTTCAGAGTCTGTGGCGACAGGTAGACGTGATGACCAGGCTGGTACCAATGACACAGGACTGAAGATCTATGTGGCCTGTGTTGTAGAGAACTATCACGTCACTACAGTCAGAACAACGTGATACTAAAGGCACACAACAGGACCGGGAAGGGGGGGGGGCAACAACAACAACAACGACAGTCAACAACGACAGTCAACAACGACAGTCACAGTCAACTACTGCTGCTGCTTTGTCTAACTAGAGCTTATATGATCACTTACCTGAACAGAATACAACATGTACGACGCCATTGCACCTGTTTGGCTTTCTCGAATAACATGTAATTATAGGCTGCTTGCATTGCATTACTATCATGGTTGTAGCATTCTTTATAGTGGTTTACAACGTTCCAGAATGACTTAAATAGGACATTGATGTATATAAGTAATATTCACAGATTTGTATTACGTTAAAGAGAATGGCTACCATTTCAGTACAACACTAAAATGCTGTCAGGTTGTGTTTTGGGCACATAACAGCATTTGTAGATTTCAGTATCTCAAGAAATGCTTAATTGTACTTCTTAACTTCGATTACAAACAGAAAGGAAAGGCTGTCTCCTTTTTAACTAAATTTTCCATGAAATGTAAACATGTGAGAGTACACAAAGACATCGTATAGCCATCTAGTTTATTGCAAATCAAAGTATTGTACAATACGCAAAAGAATGTCAAAATATTACTATGAATCAACATTTGGTCATTCACAAAAGTTAAAACCTACATGTCATAAAGCCTGTTTATAGCCTGTTTAGCCATAGTTAAGTCGTTCATGTTCACCAATATAATATGTCCATCGTACTTCTGTCCATACCAACATGGCCGCTTGAATGGTTCTCTTCCGAGGCAAAGTGTTGAACAAAACTGGTCCACAGAGTGAATCAAACCCTCTCTACTGTACCCTGTTCCAACAGTCGGCTTCTTCACCACTTCTGTCACAGCGTCAATAGTTTAGCGCGTACAAAAAGTCCCATTTTGGCGCAGGAAATTCCCAAAAGGCGACAGAAACGCGTTCACTTTCTACTGACACGTACGACGTGCCCCCACCCTGACCTGGTATCCTAGCGACCAGTGACGTCAGAGGCAGGTGCCCGAGGTCATACAGATAGTAAACAAAGAGGTCAGGTACCGGTGTACTGCACCTGAATGCTGTCGTCTTAATGGAAGATGGCACTTTTCAGGACTCTCATAAGGCCTTGTCTAGATACACACTTTGATCCATGCTTTTTAATACATTGCTATGTATATGTAATTTATGTGACGGAGCATATTACAATGTATTTACTGAACAACAACTTCCATAATAGCCTGTACATGTATTGAGATATCTGCCGTGTATCTACCGATGATGAGGCATTGGAAATACTAACGGACTGGGAGGAAACTGTTGGTTTGTAGTCCCGACTCCTGTAGGTGCCTGACGAACCATTGGAGTCACCTGGGAAGGCGCAGAGGTCCCTACGCTCGCTGCTGTGGGTATCTGTGGTGCCGTGTGTGGGAGTTCTCCTGTTGTCATGGCTGGTGTTCCTAACAGGGAATAGTTGTCTGTTGGATTTACGAACATCCCAAAGACTGACTTAAAAAATTCATAGACAAATTCTGGTTCACTTAAGCTATTGAATGAAATAGGTCCTAATACATGGGAATGTGAAACAATAGGTTGCAAGGTAAATATCAAATAAACTTAACACGCCTCTTGTACAAGCCAGTATAAACAATCAATGTGTGTAAAGTTATATAGGGTAATGTGCAGAATTGTTTTAGGAAGGCAGAGACAAAGAAAATGTTGGCAAAGTCTGCCAAACAGCTTCTGACAAAGGTATGGATGTTCCAAACCAACTACAGGTACCAACCTTGCATATGAGATGTTGACAGGGCAGCAGGTAGGTTCAGTGATGCTGTTCTGTCTGGAAGTCAAAAGGAATTGAAATTGTCCACACCTTTAGGCACTTGACGAACAGCAAATGCTGTTTGAGTTGTTTGCGGTACCAGAAGTTCAAGAGGCATGTTGGATCTGTACAAGTAGTGAAAACCTGTCTGCGATTCTATTGGAGTTGCTTGTGGTGCTAGCTGTACAGGAGTCCCCGTGTTGTGTGGTGATGCAGGGAGAGAGTTGAGTGGATCTAGAAGTGTTGCTGACTGCTGTGCCAGAAGTTCAAGATTCCCTGTGTTTGGTCGGGCAGGCGTTGATGTTGTTCTGTTTGGTAAAACCACATGCACAGGAGTCCCTGTGTTTTGTGGTATGTCTGTTGTTCTGGGTAGAAGTCCTTCTGTTGTGACTGCTGACTCTGGAGAAACAAAAACACATTTTTGCAAGTGACTTCAACTGGAAAAGGAATCCATCAATTTTACTGCATACATAGTTACATTCACATCTATGTTCAAGATAAGGCATGCCCTCCTTTAGTCAATATTCATCATGATGGTAAAATCCAAATTGATATTTAAAAATAAGGACCAAAATTGGAAACGTCCAACTGCTTCATTTCAAGTAAGAGGTATAAATTGTGTTGGGGGCTTTGATAATTACAAATTACACCATGACATAAGGGAGTGGGCGAAATGAAGCAATACACAACTATAACTACATACTAGGCAAGATTCGTATCTAGCAGTAGCAGACTGTTAATCATTGGTGTATAGGAATTGTGTTGGGGAATTCCTTTGAACAATACCATAGATCTACAGAAGCTCTGCCAATTTGTTACTTTGTATGTAACAAAATGTACCGCTTACCTTGCTGTGTTGACGATGTCGACGATAAAGAGGCATCAGAACTGGGATGGTGCTGTTTGCCCTGCCGTGACTCTTTGGTCTTCTTCCTTCTCTTACTGACTAAACTGGTGCTGCTCCCGGGCCTTCCCGTTACGTCATGGCTCTCTCCAGTCGTTCCTGTGCTGCCCTCTCTGTTCGAATTCCTTCGGCGTCTGTCCATTGTTAAGCCTGTACAGATAAATGTATATGAAGATAGCAATAGAACTGAATTCTACAACTTTTTCGACATGGCTGCCCGTGTAAGCCTGCATGAGAGGACTCTTAAATTAAAAAAAATAATGTAACACAATTCAAATGTAGAACTGAGAGGTATCGCTAGACTACACTGCCTTTCCCGGTTGATCTACTTAATGAAACATGACACGTACAGGCGTTGCCCATCTACCATGATTACCTGCTAGATTGATGTATATATACGTTTTAACGCATTAATGAAATGTTTTTAATGTGTGCAGGCCTAACGTAAGGCATTTTAAGTTCTATTGTGTGTAAATAAACCATTGATAACAATAATAATTAATAATATAATAATAATAATAGCTACCAAATGACACCTCAATCACTACACATAGTTTGCCAATGACAGTCCACTGCGCCAACTAGTTATACTAAGATCATAGATAGATTGTACTTATATTTGTGCTACGTTAGCAGAAATGTTTCATGACCAATGTAGGAGATTGCTGGCTCACATTGTGCTGCTTTCCGCTGATGTTCTGCTGCTTTCAGCTGATTCTCGATGTACCCCCCGAACTGCTCGTCCTTTACCAGATCCTTCTGGGACCCGAACGCTCGAATCCTTCCATTGTAGAGAGTAACCATCAAAGCCTCCACACCAAGTTCGCCAAGCTCCTCGGACTAAAAGTAACAACAATGCTCCAATTGCATTTATATGCTATGTGTTACTTTTGAAATGATCGTTCTTGGACGCAATTCTTCTATATTGTCCAAACATCAAGTAGTTATTAACTGCATCATTCTGTAGATATTTTGAATCCATTTTCCATGTACATATGTTGAGAAGTTACTGATATCAACAATACTGCATTTACTAGGTGGAACCAACATTATAAATATCTGTAAAGGGGCCTCGATCCGTGGTCGATGCAATGGAATGGATCGTAAATATCTGTCAATTTGAGTCAAAGGATGTTTATGGTATTTTACATAGTATTCCTTCTTTTGAATGATTACTATTAAACAATCCTTTACGTGTCCAGGAACATGTTCGTATTCTTACACCCACCAGTTTTTCCAGCTGTTTCAGCTTTTTCGCCACTTCTGACCAAGTTTTAACTTTCGTCTCTTTGCCCCTTCTTCTCTCTGCTGCTTTGTTGTATCCCTCCTTTTCCTCGTCATTCAGGTTCTTCCAGCTCTCGCCGATTTCCTTATTGGCACCGGCAAGTGAGAATCCTCGGTTGGCTGAAGGAAAATGCAAGACGACAAAGTGTTACATACAGTTTACCTACAATACACAGAAGTCCAGTGGATGTCCATAAAATTGATGTTTCGAATACTTTTCGTAAGCGATACTAACGCCGTATCTAAAATGTACCTACAGCATGCTATGGTAAGACAGTCACAAAACATGCAGTAAGTTAAATACTTGAAAAATACGTTGGGGTGAACTTGGCAAACATTTGAAAAGAGAATGAAATGATTATGTGAACTTCATTGACATAATAGTGATACAGGAAGCATTATTGATGTTGTACTTTGTCAATATGTGACCTGTCCTTAGCCCAGTGGGGCAAAATGTACAATAAAGGTCTTCATTCATTCATTCATTCATTCATTCATTCATTCATTATTATGTTTACCTTCGCAAGAGGTATCACATATTGCTTATGCTCTGTTTCGTCTTTTTCTTCTCCAAACACATAAGGTCAATGACATGAAACAGACGTCTGTCACCATGGTAACTAGTGCTGTAGCAGACACCATGTGGTGTTCGGTTACATTTTGTAGCAGGATTGGAGAGGCTGGTCATTATATATACATGTGCATTATATATATATAGAGAGAGACCATGTGAAGGTAAACCTTATCTATTTGCATTTACAAATGTTACCTTTCTATTTACTACAACTAAAGCATTCGAAAGGAGAATAAAATGATCGACTGAATCTTGCTAAAATTGTCATAGTTAAACATTTTCGTAAACAATTATAACTGCCATTTCAACTCACCCCTTTTCCTTGGTAGCTGTTCCCTGTAATACTCGTGATATCCCGTGATCCTCCTCTTCCTCTCCATCGTGTCTGGCGGCGGTCTCCTCTTACTGCCGCCTTTACTCTTACGGTAGTTACCGATGAAGTTCTGAAAGGACAATAAGTTGATTCATCTATTGTCTTGTACGCAGGTCAATATTGTTGTACCCACGTATCTGTCTGCATGTCTACATGTAGATGACTACCTTACATTTTTTGTTGTCTATAAATTTCTCCATGAAACACGGTATACTTGTCAAAGTTTAAGTCCAGGTATGGCGGAACAGGCACTATCACATCACTGAAAATCATATTTGACATGTTTGACTAGACCTGGCGATAACTCGATACAACCAAATCAGAGGATGTCCCCTCCTATTCTCGACACTGGAACCTGACCTAAGATACTGTCAGACCTGGTCTGGGACTGAGGATAGACGGTTTGTGAAGAGGAAAATGCTCTAGACTAAAGGTTGGACTAAATGTAAGATATCCTGTTTGATATTGCCACCAATAGTAAATGGGGATTGGGGAAGAGGAGTTATGTACAACATTTTTTATTAACCACCGATGATAATAACTAATATCGACTATAGTCGTCGACATTAGAAAGCTATCCTGTCAATAGGGATGTAAGACGTGTAATATGTTTTCCAATACCATAACTTGGTCAACTGTTTTCCCGCTCTCCTTAGCTGCTTCTTGTATCAACGGGTGATCCTTCTTCGCCACGGTCATTCCTCTTTCTTCATAGAACCGGACGAGTACAGGATCGTATTCCTTCTTACGTGTGGAGACTACCTGTAAACACGCACACGTGAAAGTGAGTTAAGTTTGGTGTAAGGGCGGTCTACAATTCTTTCTGAAACACTTCTAGTCACTGCAGTCACAGCTAAAATTGGACATGTATAATTATACATATACATGTCTCTATAGATACTAGTAGATCACATGCCTTCCAGCTAAATGTTTCTACGAAATTCTGATGATAGTTATTTCTCTCCAACCTGCCAAGCATAATACAAAAATTCAAATACTAGCTTGCGTACCAGGGGAACTAAAAAAAAGAACTTCATATCATCTTCAACTTGTAGTTTAATATTATCAGCAGCTGTTTGTGAACCGAATTGTTTCACAAGAAATTTACAGTCATCTCAGTCATATTCTTTAGATATGATGCTTCATGATTTTGCATTACGTAAGTTTTGAAGCGACTCACATTATCCTGTTGTCGGAGAAGCTTCAGTATTTCCCTTCTACCACGAGTGATTTGTTCTTCCTCATCTTCGTCGTCCGGATCAGCGTTACTGATGTCCTCATCTGCAGCGATGTCCTCCGCCGTTTCACCACACTGCCACTGGGAATGAATACGCAGTGAATTATAGCCTTATGAATGTTAAAAATTTTTGAAAACAAAAACACGACTGAATGAGTAGACAATATATATTATGCATCTAAAACATATATAGTACACAGTACTATAGTAGGTACAGCAGCAAAGCCCATATCTAGAAAGATATAGGTTTGTAGGTGTTTATGTGATACGATGCAGGAATATCAGAACACATCGTGATTTGTGTGTTTATCCCAACAACAGCTTCCTCCTTGCCTCGGACAGTAATGTCATCATGATGATGTGGGTCATCATTTTTTATCAATTTTTCTCCCAAAAGAAGTAAAGCCAATATTGTATTTCTAGATTGGTGGTCAGCTATTTACCAGAGAAGCCGATGAACCGACTGACCTTGTTCCTGAGACCGGCATCAGCCCCGTAGTGCAGCAGTATTTCCGCACATTTGGTGTAGCCCCATCTAGCTGCGTAATGGAGGGGTGTGTCTTCCTGTTGGGGCATTGACAGTGCAATTTTTCATCCTTAGTATGGTCAAATAGCAACCTCTTATGAATGTATATATTTACATCACTCAATGACTCCAAGCTCGCTTGAAACCATTCCCTACCTTTAATTTGCCATTCATACTGGTTGTTTCTAATAATGGACAATCACAATAACACTGCAACTTAAATCCTGCTGACATTTTTTGCAATATATTTTTTTTTCAATTTCGTGTCTTAATCAGGTCATCGACCCCTGGCCTTTTTTGCCATGCGGTGGCGTAGTTACTTCCGCATTCGTTGCGTTCCGCTTCGGTGCGATGCGCTGCACGAAAATAGCCCCAAATTTTACATATACAAGGCACCATATGCATAATAATGTATGTGCAACCCATGCTTTATGGCACAAGAAAATGATATATTCCGACAGTTGATAATACGCTGTTTAGCCCCATGCGTTCCAATCCGTACCAGCTTCATGTTGGCAACAGTTTAAATTGTAGACAGCAAGTAAACCACTAAGTAAGAAGATTGAGAAGATGAATGTCAAATCTAACAAGATGATACAGAAATATTTCTTGTTTCACAGCAATCAGTCTACCTACCCACTTGCCCCGTGCGTTCACATCTGCACCAGCTGCCAGTAAAACTGACACAGTTTCATGGTGACCCCTCCAGGCTGCCTGGTGCAGGGGAGAGACTTGCTGTAAAATACATCAGATGGTCTTCAGCATGATATCAGGTCGGAAACTGCTACAGAGCTATACAAATATGCAATTCGTATATTGGTGAAAGTTTTGTGTTGGTTATATTTTAAACAGCAAATGCTATGTAGACAAGGAATGCCAAATCTTACAAAATAAAAACAAATATGTCTTGTATCAATGCAATAAGTCTACCTACCAGATCGCCCCGTGCGTTCACATCTGCACCGGCTGCCAGTAAAACTGATACAAGTTCATGGTGACCATTATTGGCTGCATGGTGCAGGGGAGAGTCTTGCTGTAAAATACATCAGATGGCCTTCAGCATGACAACAGGTCGGACAAATGTGCAGTTATTTCGTTGACAATTCTAACGGAATGGAGCAAGTAAACTTCTATACAGCTGAAGATAGATGTCAAATCCCATAAGAGATATAAAAATGTTTATGCGTCACAGCAGTCAGTCTACCTACCCCAGCGTCCCGTGCGTTCACATCTGCACCAGCTGTCAGTAAAACTGATACAGTTCCATGGTGGTCATTCCAGGCTGCCAGGTGCAGGGGAGAGAATTGCTGTAAAATACATCAGATGGTCTTCAGCATGTCAACAGGTCGGAAACTGCTACAGAGCTATACAAATATGCAATTCGTATATTGTTGTGTGTTGGTAAAAGTTTTGTGTTGGTTATATTTTAAACAGCAAATGCTATGTAGACGATGAATGCCAAATCTTACAAAGTAAGAAAAATATGCCTTGTATCAATGCAATAAGTCTACCCACGTCATCGTTTCGTGCGTTCACATCTGCACCAGCTGCCAGTAAAACTGACACAGTTTCATGGTGACCTTTCAGGGCTGCCAGGTGCAGGGGAGAGTTTTGCTGTAAAATACATCAGATGGCCTTCAGCATGACGACAGGTCGGACAAATGTGCAGTTAATTTGTTGACAATTCTAACAGAATTCTGCAAGTAAACCGTTATGTAAAAGATGAATATCAAATCTTATAAGACATGAAAATGTTTTGGAAATAAAATAGTCAAAGTAGTTATCGTTCCGTGCACATCTGCACCAGAACAGACAAAAGTGCCCCATGAAATGTTGGTAACAGTGT